AAAAAAAAAAAAAAAAAAAAAACCAACCATTTTTGCTACCTAGTCTGAGCTTAGTCTTGGTCAGGACAAAATAAGCCTCCAGCCAGCTGCAGTCATGAGCCTGGGGAACAAGACATCTGACTAGCACTGGGTTTTGTTTCTTTGGTGAGTCTTCCAATGGTTTCATTTCTATGCAATAGTTGTTCCTTTTCTAGTTTGTTACACATGAATTGATAAAAAAAAGGAGTAAGAAGCCAAAGCATGGCTGCAAAGGGATTGCATATAGGGTACAATTTAGGCCTAAAAGCAGAATGGACTAGAGAAAGCTCAGAAACCATCAGATGATGAAAGGCAGGTTAGCTAGAAGGTATCAGTGATCCTCAAGGACCAGAGGTCAGCCTACTAGAAGACAGGAAGTGAGTCAGGTGGCACCCCCACTGGGGGGTGAGGGAGGGGGATACACAAAGTTCTCAGAAGTCCTCAGAGGAAGGTAATCAAATATCCAGAACTTTTCTCTAAATCTGCTATTAGATAAAGAAGTAACCATGGACCCTGCAGATCAAATAAGGCATGTAACATGAACCTTCCTAGAGTCTGGAAGACGACCCCGGAGTTAACCCCAGTCTGTACCCTCTTCTTTCTTGGTCTAGATTGAGGAGAGCCTTCAGGGTTAGCCTTTAGGGAGAACCTTCTAAGATGGAAGAATTGGGAAAGGCAAGTAATCCTGAGTGAGTCCAAGAAGTACTTGCCTGGGACAAAACTATAGATCTGAGTCCAGCAACACAGGCAAAGCAAACAAAGACTTAGTGGTGAAGAACTTGAAATGAAAAAAGCTCATAGAGAGAAACAAGCCCAAAAGTTAAGTATGGAAGACAGCCAGCCAGTTCCTTCCCCCTCCTGCCAAATTAGTGGAAATGCGAGAAATGAAAGGCTCTGTCATCCAGAAACATTTCTCTTTCAGCTTTTAATTGAACACACAAAACTACTCAAGCACTGCAGAACAAGTCTACAGGGCTAGTTTTTACACTCAACAATAACCATAACACACTTGGAGTGTATCATCTGAGAGTGATAATGTGAGCTCACTTCTGGAGCCACATTAGGAATGTGACAATAAGAGACTGTCTGGTTTTCCAAACTCTGTTCCCAAAATGTGGAGTAAATTTTTCGGGAAAGCAGCACTAAACTTGCATTATACCCCAGGAGGCCACTAGAGTGCTCCAGAGTCATGAATTCACATTCCAGCTGGGGGATTCAAACTTCTGCTAAAATTATTATAGCCAGATATGGACTTTCATTGCCTTTGGTTGGTTTTCCACGAGCAGAAATGATAGTCAGATGCTGACTGGAACACAGGAAAAAGGATCAAATGAATGGGCCTTACCTAAGCTTCTGGGACACTTTGCTAAAATTAGAGAGCAACTATTTCAACCTTGAGAAAAGAGATGGAAGTTAGATGGTATTCTGTGGATCATGTTAGAAAAATCTAACTATAAACCAGGCTTCCCTGTCCCCGCCCCTGTAATTAGATCTATCTATTGTAAAGAAACTGATTTTATGGCAATTCCTAGTCTGAGGTGTTTTGTTTTGTTTTGGGTAAAATATGATTTACATTTTCAACATGTGAACCATATAAAAGTTAAAAGTCTACATATAGGCTTGAAAAATTGCATCTGTAGTGGTCAATGTGCCTAACTGGACAAAATCCTGTTTTCTTCCCTTCTTGTGTGTTGGCTGGGCTTTAATCCTTTACCCAATGTATTTGGGGCTGAGATGCCTCCTTAATTCACTGGGACTGCTTTCAAGATGAATTAAAATAAAATATAGATATATGTGAAGGTCTTCTGTAAAATATGAAGTGATAAAGTGTTAACTATTATCATCAGTTATTACCGCAATTAGAGGCCTCAAGCTTAAGCATTAGCATATGTTGCTTGAGTGACACCATAACTTGGTGGACCATAACTTGGTGGAAAGATAAAGATAAACAGAGGGGCAGACATAGGCCTTTTTGGTTTATCTGAACATTTTACTTTTAATTCTAGGCTTATGGACAATGGGTTTTTTTTTAAACAGAGGGGCAGACATAGGCCTTTTTGGTTTATCTGAACATTTTACTTTTAATTCTAGGCTTATGGACAATGGGTTTTTTTTTTTTTTTTTTTTTTTTTTTGTTTTGTTTTTAAATGCAAGAGTTTCAGGAAATAGTTTAGTCATTTTGAATTTTAAAAGTACAGAGGAAAACAAATGTGTAAAAGGATTATACACTTAATATTTGAACCTCAGCTGTATTACTAAGCAGCTAAAGATTATACACCCAGTGGTGTAAAGAAAACATAGTGAACTTTAAGCCATCCACTTTAGGGAAGTCAGGAATGGCCCAACAGCTGCAGGCTCAGTTGAATCAACATTTCTATTATAGACATCAGCTACAAGCAATTCCTATCTAACCTTTGCGCAAGATGGCTTATGCATGCTAACATGATCAGGTATGTATGTATGGTTTCATTTTCTGTTCCTATATATTTATGCCCTCCAAGGCAAAGTTTTAATAAGCAAAGGTGAGAGAGAGGAAGTAAAGAGCCTAGGGTAATTCACAAAGAGCATAGTCACTATCCGAACAAGTAAATGCTGGGGTTGGTAATGAAAATAAATCACCAAAAAGAGTCACATTAAATTACTAGTAATTTCTGATACTCAAATTGATTCCTTTTTTCCTGGCCACATAAAATTAGTTTGCACCCTACACCAAATAAAAGACAAGCATTTTGCAGTGCATGTTTTCAAGTTTTGTTTCATACACATAAATAATAAATATAATTAAATATCACCAATAATAATTTTACTTCTTCTAACCTCTTGGGATTGCCTATAAGGCTCCAAATCAATGTGTGTCTCATCTCTGCCTCCCCGAAGAAAATTAGGATTGCAGAATATGGTGTTTCTAGCATCATACCATCCACTAAAGATTCTACAGCAATAAAAACTGCAAGTGTTAGAGGGGAAATTGAGTTTACAATGTATATATTACCAAATCTCCTCATTCACTCAATCTCTAAACACACGAGTCACATACATATTTAATTTATAGATGTGGCAGGTGAATCCCAAAGAGGTTAAAAAAAAATCTGTCTTACTGAAAAAATGCTAATTAGTAGCAGATTTAAGACTAGCACCCAGACTTCCTAAATTCTACGTAAGTGCTCTTTCTACAACACTGCACATCTTTTGGTACTCTGCAAAATGTTGTGTTTAAAACACAAAACAGAGTAGAATAATACCATTTTCCATTTCTTTTTATTTCTCTTTTTGTCAGAAGGTGTGCATGTTCACTGTGTGTGCGTGTGTGTATGTGTATGTGTGTGAAAGAGAGAGAGAAAGCACCCCCTCTATGGGGCATGGTTACTATGCAATCCATTTTCTTCCATTTCTCCATCCCATGAGGATTTGGGGTATGCACACACATGCGCCTGGTATATTTTTCAAGCTGGTGTGGCTTGGCTGGGAATTGAACTGCAGTCGGCCATGTGGGATCTGGCTCACCACACAAAAGACTTAAAAGCTGCATTATGGGGCCAAACTAGAACAGTATAATGTCAAGTAAAGAGTAATGTAGTTTTAAATGCCATTTAGATTCCTTTCATAGTTTATGGGGCTCCTTACATTTATCAAATCTGTGTGGACTATAATTTAAAAATACACAGAGCTATGGTACCATGGTATCAATTTGGGGTTGTTAGGATATTTAATTCTGAAAAAAAGCACAATTCACATTTCATTTTGCCAGTGTATAAGCAAAGCTAACATGAGGGGGACTTGAAAAAGTGTGGAAAATGGAACAAAAGTCTGAGTTTATATTAGTGTAAAAAAAATGGAAACTGACAGTTTTTTCATGAAATGCATTTTCCATAAACTTTTTCAAGACCCCTTGTGCTCTACGGAGGTTGTGTGAAATTATAAGTGCAGGGAACCAGCAGTTAGTGTAATGGCTATATCACTGGACTCCCACGTAGTTGACTGCGGTTCGTGTCCCGGACCCAGTGGCTTAAAAATCACGCCAGGCGCGTGTGCGTGCGTGCCCAAGATCCCGAGAGGAGAATGGAGGAGAAGGGATTGCGGCGTGCCCATCCCCCCTGGGGGGTGATTTCTTGCTTTCTGTCTCTATGTCTCTCTCTGTCTGTCTGTCGAGTGCACGTGCCCTATAGCGAGAAAAAAAAAACAAAAAATACAACATTCTCCAAAAAAAAAAGAAATTATAAGTGCACTATAGGCATTTTCTGTAAAAGTAAAATAATGCAAAAGCAGATGTGGCTCATGGTAACTGTACCTATCGGACCAAAGTATTTATTTAATTTTAACTCAAACTAGAATATATATATATTAAATCTCAAGAATGTGTTACTAATAAATGACTTAGGTCAACTGTGCATTTTAATTTTTCTCCTTTTCAGAAAAGGAACAAGAAGAGTGTATTTGGGAATCAAGAGATGTGGACTCGCTCAGAGTTCTCCTTTTGGACATATGGAAACCAAAGGGATCCAAACTGGTTGATGGCTAAGATTCCTTATAGTTTCAAATGGAGCAGCTCCTCATCAGGCATTAAAAACATTCAACTCTTTTGGTATCTACAACGGATGAAAGGACATCTTTTTTTATTTTTTTTTGAGAAATATTTTTGCTCTAAGGCATGTGTGCTTGCATGAGAGACAGAAAACAAGAAATCACCCTCACGCCGCTCCCCCCATTGGGGGATGGCCATATTGCAATCCCTTCTCCTCTATTATCTTCTTGGGATTTTCAGTGTGCACGCTCTCTCCCCTGGTGTGAGATTCAAGGCACCAGGTCCGGGACTTGAACTGGGATCAGACACACAGGGGTTCATAAACATTATGCCATCTGCTGTTCCCAAAGAATGGTTTCTTTCTTTCTCTCTTTCTTCCTTTTTTTTTTTTAAGAGGTTTTGCTATAGGGTGCAAGAGTTTCCCAGAAAGACAGAGAGGGACAGAAAGTGAGAAATCACCCCCCAGGGGGGATGGCCACGCCGCAATCCCTTCTCCTCCGTTCTCCCCTCGGGATCATGGGCATGTACACACACGTGCCCGGGGTGAGTTTAAGCCATCAGATCTGGGACTCAAACCGTGGTCAACTACATGGGAGTCCAGTGACATAGCCATTACACAAACTGCTGGTCCCAAGAATGGTTTATTAGCCATCACAGAAATTAGCATTCACCTAAGGATTCAATATTTAACGTTAGTTAGATAAAGTCACAAATAAAATGTGACTGTGGGAGATTGTGAAATAAACTCTGCACCTAAAACCTGTAACATGACTAGTTAATAATGGATTTTGGTTGGGAATACAGAAGCCTCAGAGTCATTCTATTTTTAACATAGAGGTACTGGGAGGTGGGCTACGGAAAATGTTCAGGTGAGAAATCACTGCCCACACCAAGTCAACCAGAGGAGCCTCATAACGCCCTATGCTAACTCCTGTGAACACAAGCACCTGCCTGCAACATAAACTGCAATGCTGATTATGTATAGTTATGAATGATCTCTAATCACCGGCTAATACAATTCAAAGGTTACACAAATCAACACATGGCACACAGCCCCTTGGCAGGAGCCCCCCAGATAATGGTTTTGATCTGAAAATGTAAAATAACCTATTTATGAACACACAGGTCTAAAGCTGATATGCCCTTAAGACTATGCAACTGTGCCATTTCCAGTCTAGACAACTTGAAATTAAACCACATATATTGCTTCCTTTACCTTCTGTAGGGTGAATGGCATCCAAGAAGAGCTGCTTGTTTGACCATTTATCCCCACTTCCTAAAAACAATCACAGAAATGGAAAGTGAGACGCTATTCCTAGTATAGACACACATACTATAAAAGTAAGACTTTACACAAAATAACTGAATATGAAACGTCACACAAAGGAGCACGATTTTATTTCAATTATGCAATTATCAGTTTGGCATTTGCCAACTAAAACAATGAGGTTATATAGAAAATGGATTAAAATAAGCAAATTTTTATCCTTTATGAGATATACTGTATAACTATACTACACTGAATAATTTCTGCATGTTTAATCAAGGTAATTTGAAGATCAGTAAAGGGGAATGACAAAGCTGATGCTTTATCTAAAGAATGTCTCTTCACCGGAAGCACAGGGAAAAGATATCAATACAGGAAACATAACTAAGAAGCTGAAATGAAGGTGAAAATTAAATTCAGATTAAGCAAAAGGTTATACACAGGAACACACAAGCACACATGTCCAAACACAGAAGACGGCTGCAATTATAGCCTCATTCAGGAAACACAGAATGCTTCACATGTGGCCATGCAAATAGGATGATATAAGTGTCAGATGAGTAGGTTTATGGTCATCACGACACTAACATGCAGGGAGATGCTAAAGAAACCCAACCTATAGGACGCGTGGCTGCGCTGAGCCAGATGGGAAGGTTTATCTTTCATGTGAAAGAAGAACAGGAGTCCTGAACTACGAGAGAAGAGATCTTAAGATGAGTCCTGACTAGGTTCAAGGGCTCATCGAGATCATAACGAGAGAGGTGTTCAGCATAGAGGGAGAGGAGAGTGCAGTAAGACTCTAGTGCCTTCAGGAAATAAAGTTCTGAGACTGATGGAGATGCAGCAGAGTCTGGCGAATGTGAAATACAGAGATGGGGAAAAAGAGCTAGGTTACGACTGAAGTGGAGAAAGAGGTCCACAAGAATCCTCGAGTGTCAAGGTACAGAAGTGGTGGGACTTCTCACAAGAATTTGAAACTGGTAAGATCTCGGGAAGTAGGAAAATGCGGTCATGATATGAAGGCGGCCAAACACGAGAATAGCAAAAGAAAATGAATGGATAAGAGGCTGCGAAGACTGTTTTACACAAATACATGTGAAGAGAAGCAATTTCAGGATTCAGATGAAACTCTGAAGATAGAGACGAATATAGATTTGAGTAGGAATCCAAGTGAAGGAGATGTGCAATTATCTGCAGAGTCTCCAGAGAATGAATCTGCCTGCGTCAGGAGCTGATGGCATGGAAGCAAGCACGGGGGAGGAGAAGGCCAAGGCAGCGTGTGGAAGCAGTACTCAAAGTGGCTTCACAATGGAGGTGACCAAGAAACCTTAATGGAGGGTGGAAGGCACCAATACCTTTTTCCGGAACATTAGGCTTCTCCTTTTTGTGCTTATATTTGCTGACAATTTTGTGGAATAAGTTCTTTTTCTGAGACTGGAAAGGACCTACAGACAATATTAATATAAATAGATTTTAAATTCAATGTTTCATAAAACAGTAGTGTAAGCTTTTAAACAACTGTGCTCTCATCCCTCTGGTGGAATAAGCAAATGGAGTCACAAGGAATGTCATCTTGCATCTTCATTTGCTTAACTGGGCTCAGCCCCCTTCTTTAGGCTTATTTAAAACCCAATGAAGGGCTAGCTGGTGGTACAGTGGTTAAGGTGGCTGAATTTCAATGGCTGGCGGTATGGTCAGTCCTGGACCCAGCAGTTTGAAAATCATGCTGGGTGTGTGTTTGTGCATATCCCAAATCATGAGAAAATGGGGAGAAGAAATTGCAGTGTGGTCATCCCCCATGAGGAGTGATTTTTTTTACTTTCCTGCTCTCTCTCTGGCGAGCACATACACCCTATAGCAAATTACAAAATAAAAGCATAAGACTCAGAGAAATTTTCTCTAGAAATGTATTGGGCGGAAGCCTCCATTAGGGCTGGGACTCCCTAAGCAAAAACTACAGATTTAGTGAGTAGAAACAGACTAAAAACAGCAACAGCACAGAGTGGCTACAGTCTATAATAGAGAAAAGATTTTAGACTCCCAAATACCATGAAGAAAAGGATGGCATATGCATTTCATCTTTCCTGGGAAAGTGATTTTCACAAGAACAGCACTTTCAGGGTAACAGCTGACCTGAGCACATTAGACAGCTTTCTGGTCTTTTCTGAGGATATTCTAGGAAGAAAAAAGTGTCTTAAAACTAGAAAAATATTTACCAAAATTCTTTTTTTCTGGGTGGGAGGAGGAGAAGTCTCAGATTCTCCTTAGTTTTCACAGATAAAGAAAACAGTAAAGATTTTTCAGTTAATAATCAGAAATACCAACAACGGCACTGACCTCCCCAAAGCAGCCTGTTTCCTATACTTTATGGATATTCCTATGAGGCTGATTTAACATTGTTACATAACTTCTGTTTCCTCATCCGGACATAGTGATCATAAGAGTCTGACACTCGGGGTTGCTGTGAGGAAGATGTCCCATTGCAGGTCTCCACCTTCCAGCATCTGCACTCACAGGCTTTGCCTTCCGCCTGCAAGAACCATCTATGCTATGGTCTAGTCTGCCCCTCCATCTGTGTGCCAGCCTAGCCTCCCTGTCTGGTGCATCATTATTCTCCCTCTTACGGGCCATCTCATCAGCACATAAATATATATTATTTCTCCCAACTTCAAAACAACGCCCCCCCACCCCCAACCAAGGCTTCTCAAGCTCAAACTTCCCTCATGTCAGTTACTGCCCCAGTTCTTGGTTTCTGCCCTGTTTCAAAACCCTCCTCAGAAAGGTTGCCTGTACTCACTGTCTCCAGTTTCTCTCTCCAGTCTGCCTTCTCTCACTGCCCTGCTGCTCACAAGGCTGCTCTTCTCAGGGTCATCAGGGAACCCATGCTGTGAAGTCTGCTGCTGGTCCTCACTGTACTGGCTGTGCCTGCTGACATGGCCGAGTTCTCCTGCCACACCCACTGCCTCGAATACTTCCATCTCTGGGCAGAATTCTAAGATACCACTTCTCTTGCTTTCTCTCCTTTCTCACTGAGTGTTCCCTGTCTCTTTTGCTGCCTCCTCTCTCCTCTGACTTAATTTTGGAATGCCCTGGGTCTGGTCTTTGTCTTCTTCTCTGTGTACTCTCCCTCCTATGGTGACTGCCTCTAAGTATCAGGGCTTTAAATATCAGCTACAGTCCGATGACTCACAAATGCACTGCTCCAGCCAGACCTGTTCTGCGTAGTTGAAAAGCCAGCAATCTTACACCATCTTACTTACAAGGACTCTGATTCACAGTCCCATTACCTCTGTAACCTCAACTCCTCCTCTTTTGCTCCTCTCTAGCTGCACTGGCAGTCTCCTGAACAGGCAGTCTCACTCCTACTTTGGGGACCTTAGTGCCAGCTGTTACCTCTGCCTAAAAATGCTCTTCTCCAGACATCCACATGGCTGACTTCCTCATCACCTTCAAAGCTCTGCTGAAATACCTTCAGACCACCCTAAGTAAATCTGCAACCAGACCTCATACCAGTATCTTGTGATCTCCCTTCCCCTTCACTGACTTCCAAAGACAGCTTTATTAGAATAGAATTCATATAGTGTATAGATTACCCATTTGAAGTACTTAATTCCATGGCTTTGCTTTTATATTCACAGGTATCTGTAACCATCACTGATTTTAGAATATTTAATTATCGCTATTATCCCTCCTAGATCTGCCTTTCCCCATCCCTAAGCAATCACTAATTATTTTCTGTCTCTCTAGATTTGCCTATCCCAAAAATTTCATACAACTCTGTCTTGTATGTGTCTCATATATGTTCTCGACTGCCTTTTTGACGTGTTTTCAAGGTTCATCCATGCTGCAGCATATTATCAGGCTGAATAATATTCCATTGTATAGATATAATTTATTTTTTGAACAGTTTCTGTATTTTGGACATTATGAATAATGCTATTCTAAAAATTCATGTAAACAATTTTACATGAACATATATGTTCATTCCTCTTAAGCATATACCTAGAAGTGGAACTATTGGTCACATGGTAACTATGATTAAACTTTTAAGGAACTGCCAGACTATTTAATAAAGCAGCTGCACCATTTTACATTCCCACTAGTAACATAACATATAAGGATCTCAATTTTTCTATATCACCACCAACATTTATTGTTATTTGTCTCTTTCATTCTGGCTATCCATGGATGTTAAGTGGCATTTTTCTCACTGGGTTTGATTTGTACTTCCCTGACGAGTGATGATATCAAGCATCTTTTCATGTAGTTACATGCCACTTGTTTATTTATTTTTTTTTTAAATAAATGTTTGTTAGATTACTTGCCCAGTTTTGACTGACTTTTTCTTTTTTCTTTTTTTTTCTTTTTTTAAGTTGCCAGAGCACGCATGTGCAAGGCAGAGAGAAAGATAGAATGAGAGGGAGGACTAGAACACCTCTCAATGGGACATGGTCCTTTCACAATCCAGTCTTCATTCTGTTGGGATTTTGAGCACACATGCAACATTCAACATTTTATATATATATATATTTTTTTTTTAAGTCACTGGGCTAGGATTCAAATTGTGGTCAGTTATGTGGGATCTGATTCCCTTTATTACTGGGCAACTGGACTGGGCCAGGTAACTTATCTTTTTAATTGTTGAGTTGTAAGAGTTCTTTACATATTCAACCTAAAAGTTTCATCAGATATGTGATTGGCCAAGCATTTTCTTCCATTCTGTGGGGTTTCTTTTCACTTTCTTGACAGTGCCCTTTGAAGGACAAATTTTAAAAACTTTTGATATAGTCCAATTCATTAATGTCTTGTTGTGTGAACATTGGTGTCATTATCTAAAGATCCACTGTCAATTCTGAGATCACAGAGATTTACACCTATGTTTTCTTTGACAAGCGTTTATAGTTTTGGCTCTTATATTTAAGTCTTTGATCTATTTTAAGTTTAATTTTGTATTAAGAAAGCCCACCTTCATTCTTCTGCATGTGGAAATTCAGTTGTGCCAGCACCATTCTTTGAAAAAAAAAAAATTATCTTCCTATTGGATAGTCTTGGTATCCCTGTTGGAAATCAACTGGCCAAAAAAATATGGGTGTATTTCTGGACCTTGGATTTTACTGCATTGATCTATTGATCTTTACATCTATGTTTACACAGTACAACACTGTCTCAATAACTGCTATTTCACAGTTTTGGAATGAACTACTACTTCTTAATTTTCAAGATTGTTTTGGCTATTTTGAATCTCTTGCAATTCCATATCAACTTTAGGTTCATCTGTCAATTTCTACCAATAACTCAGCTATGATTCGGTGAATCAATATGGAGTGTTTCCATTAACACAATTAGTCCTCTGATTCATGAGCAAGAGACATTTTTCCATTTATTACTAACATACTTCTTTCAACAATGTTTTATAGTTTTGTATTATACTTTTTTTTTTTTTTGAAGAGACTTTTGCTATAGGGGTGCGTGCACTTGCCAGGCAGAGACAGACAGAGAGATAGAAAGCAAGAAATCACCCCCCAGGGGGGATGGCCATGCCGCAATCCCTTCTCCTCCATTCTCCTCTTGGGATATTGGGCACGCACGCACACGTGCCGGCATCAGTTTAAGCCACCAGGTCTGGGTCTCGAACCGCGGTCGACTATGTGGGAGTCCAGTGACATAGCCATTACACTAACTGCTGGTCCCTTGTATTATACTTCTTTTGTTAAATCTAATCTTAAGTACTTTATGCTTTTGGATGTTACTGTAAATAAAACTTTTTATATTTTTATTTTTGGATTATTCACTGCAAATATACAGAAATATATTAGTTTTTGTCTAATGATCTTATCTTGAAACCCAAATTTTCTATACACAAGATCAAGTCATCTGAGAACAAAGATAGTTTTACTTCTTCCTTTCTAATCTAGATGGCTTTTGTTATTCCTTATCTAAATGCCCTGGCTAGAACCTCTAGTACAAGGTTGAGCAGGAGTAGTGGGAATGGACATCCTTGTCTTCTTCCTGAGCTTAGAGGAGAAGCATCCAAGCTTTTACTAACATTAAGTATGATGTTAGCTGTATGTTTTCTGTAGATGCTTTTATCAGGTTGAGAAGATTTCTTTCTATTCTTAGCTTGTTTAGTGTTTTTATCATGAAAAGGTAATAGATTTTAGTCAAATGCTTTTTTTCCTTTAAATTTATTTAGATGATTGCATAAATTTTCTTTTCTATTTCATTGATTTATAACATTACTTGATTTTTAGATAATAAACAACCTTGCAAATCTATGGTAAAATCCCACTTAGTCATGGTGTATAACTCTTCTTATATGTTACTAGATTTGGTTTCCTAGTATTATGTTGAGGATTTTTTATGTCTATATACATAAGAGATGTTGATCTGTAGTTCTTATTTCTTGGGATATCTTTGTTCAGCTTTAACATTAGTGTAATATGGG